AAGAATTTGGCAAATAAGCTAATTCAAGAAATTTTAGAGTTGAAGGATGAGATGAGTGGAGTCAAAGCAGAGCTTTATAAACTTGAAACAATGGTTCACACTGGCAAATATGATGATGGCTGGGAGATTGCAGATGTTAGACTATCTATCAATGAACTAAAAGAGAAGTTCACCAAGATTGAAAAGTCAATAAACACCAAGCGCAATACTCTGGGAGCTGATGGGCGATTAAATCTTGAGCGCCTGCTTGGAAATAAATTTCTTCGTCTGCATGTAAATGCCTTGGCTTTAAAACAGCATCTGAGAAATCGCTTGCAGCAGCGAAAATTTGAGTTGGACAGCTTAGAGAGAGATACCGCAAAACTACAACCAATAGTAAGTATGGGTTTTACACTACAATAAAATATATACTAATTGACTGTTATTAGGTAAAAAACTTCAAGAACATTCAGAGTCTCAGATAAAGCGCAAGGAACCAGGGATTCAAAAGCTTGCAAAGAAATACAACAATCTCTGCAGTGAACTAGAAAAGATGATCAAGGCAAAACAAAGTCCCCGTGGAGCACGTGCACCACATAAAATAGCTACTGAAGGTCTTTTCAAACTTGATGTTGATGATGACATATGGCAGGATGTTGGTTTGGATGATACAGATCTGTCATCTGAAAATGCAATTCCACAGTGGCTTGGAAATGAGGATGTGCGTAAGGGAATCAAAGCTTTGCTGGAGTTGGACCGATGCAAAGAGGAACTGAGAAGACTCTCCTATGAACGCAGTGCAATGCAAGAATGGCTTATTGAAGAGTGGCAATGTGTTATAAAAGGCATTGAAAATGAACAAGATATCAATATCATTTATCAACTGGATTTAAGAGCCAGCTTTCTGGCACATGTATGCCTTATCTGGCAGGATAAAGTTTGTTTGGTCATTCCACACAAGTCTATGGATTCATCTTGGGGACCAACATTAGATGACCTGGCACATGTCAGAAAGATAGAAATGATGGAAATGGTGGCAGACCAGGACAGTAACACAGAAACTGTCATTGCAGTAAATGATGATGATGATGATGAGGATGATGAGGATGATGAGGATGAGGAGGAAGAAGATGGTGAGGAGCTGGAATTGTTGGAGGCAGTTGAACTATTGGCACTGTCAGATGAGTTTCGTAGTGGCTACAATAGTTGAGACAGAACATTTTTCCAATTAAATAAATACAGTGAATATATTTCAATGAGTGTATTGAATAGTTTCAGTTGAATATATTTGGTTGAATATATCTAGTGGTAAGTCAGCAAGTAATGGATATAGATATTGATGAGTATGGCATTGATGGTGTCTGTGATCTGGTTGTTGCAGCTATAATACAATCTACTCAAGTCAACAAAGAACATATGCTTCAATGGCATCTGTGGTCTGGGCTGTGGCAGCTCTTATAAAATCTCAAATGAACATGGGATCAATGGCATCTGTGATCTGATTGATGTAGCTGTTATACAATTTATACAAGTACAAAAAGAGCATAGGCTTCAATAGCATCTGGGGTCTGGTGGTTGCAGCTCTCATTCAATTTCAAATGAGTATGGCATTAATGGCATTTGTGATCTGGTTGTTGCAGCTATTATACCATCTCAAATGAGCATAGATATCAGAGGCATTGATGTGGTTGTTGCAGCTCTTATACAATCTGTTCAGGAAACAGTGGAGGTGCTTGCCTAAGATACACTAAGAAAGTTACTTTCATCTAATAACTTCTTTTTGGAAGAGTAAGACCCCTGCCAGCTCTCAGATAAAATCTATTCAGAGACAAAAACTCTATAAAGCAAAAAAGAATTCATTGAGTAGTGTGACATAAAAGTTTGTGACACTCTATGCTCTTGGCTCCAAAAATATTTATTCAGCCTCAAAAATTATATCCAGTAGTGGAAACATGGAATATATTTAATTTAGAGTCTTGGCACTTGAAAGATTTATTTAGTGCAAAAAAATAGATTCAGTTGTGTGACAGGTAATTGTGTGACACTTCAGATTAGAAATACAAAATAGATACAGTAGATTTATTCAGTACAGTAAATAAATACAGTACTACTATTAGTCATGTAATATATACTGAAATTACATGACTAATAGTCAGTAGTCAGTGGGTGACTGAAGTGGCTAGATGCTCGAACCAAGCAGATCAAGATGCCATCTGGCCTTGGAACCATTGAAAAGGACCTTCCCCTATTCAGTTGTCAAGTCCCCACTGGTTCCATAGCCCTCATTGGATATACCGTTGGTTCCTATAACTCCAAGGCAAATCCCAACGATGTATCTTTGTCAATGAATGTGCTTTGGGTTGCAGTGCTTGCTGCTAGTGAAACCACTTTGCAAGTCTATCATTATCTTCATTCTAATCCTTGCTCAACATCACATTTCAGGTAGCCCTACTTTTCTCAGTCTCTTTCACAATGACCCAGTGTTTCGAATGATGGAGGCTATGGAATAGAATTTTGTGCTTGCTTTCCTTCATTACGAGTCCTCTGAGTTACGAAGAGACTCGTTTATTACCCAGGATCTCAGGACTTTTTTCAGCGCGGTAACGCTGAAATTTGACTTTCTCCCACGAAAGTGATTTCTTCCCACAATCATTTGCTTGGTTCGCCTACATGACTTTCCTAGTCTACTTGACCATTCCTTGATTATTACTGTCTTTTAGCCCTATCCAGGTTGTCGTTGATGTAGCTTGTGGCTAATATATTGCTCTATTTGGCTTCCAGACTCTGATGAATGAATGCATTGCCTCTATTTTCATGTTCATGCAACTCAACTTGTTTACATTGAAGGTACAACAATTAAGGTCCTGACAACTTGTGCAAATGAGCCCATGCTCTGGTGAAACAGGCCACAGGAATGTACTGAGCAGTTGGTGACCATAAGGCAAAAAAGCGAAAATACAAACCTACTTACCTGGATGGGAACTCAACCATTTTGTAAATGGCTTTGTGGAGCATGTTTGTGGAGTGCATAGGTATTGAATTGAGTCCATGCCCATGCGAAATGGACCACAGAAAGGTACTGAACAATTGGTGAGCATAAATAAGGCAAAAAAGCAGAAATACAAACCTACTTACCTTGATGGGAGGTTGACCGTTTTGTAAACGGTTTCATGGAGCTTGTTCGTGGAATGTGTAGGTATCGAATCAAGTCCATGCTCATGTGAAACGGACCACAGGAAGGTACTGAACAATTGGTGAGCATAAGGCAAAGAAGCGAAAATACAAACCTACTTACCTCCATGGGAAGTTGACTGTTTTGTAAACAGTTTTGTGGAGCTTGTTTGTGGAATGCGTAGGTATTGAATCAAGTCAATGCTCAAGTGAAATGGACTGCAGGAAGGTACTGAGAAGTTGTGAGCATAATGGTGAATATTCCGCATCAAAAGGAACAACTCACAAGTTGAGTCACAGAAATTTCCGAAAATGACGTACTTCCCTTGCGGGCTACCTTCAAAATGGAAGGTAGCCTGCAAGGGAAGTAAGTCATTTTCGGGCAATGCCGTGACTCGTCTTTTTGCCCTTATGCCAACCTCTGCCCAGGACCTTCCTGTGGCTCGATTCGCCTCAACGTAGACTCGTTTGGATAGTGCTTCACGTCCCGAAAACGCTCCAAGAAACCGTTTACGAAACCGTCAACTCCTCGTGGAGGTACGTCTGTTTGTACTTTCGTGTTTTTGCACTTCTGCTAAACTCTGCCCAAGACCTTCTGTGTCTCGATTTCCTTCAACGTAGACTCGTTTGGATACTACCTTACGTCCCGAAAACGCTCCGACAAACCGTTTATGAATCCGTCAACTCTTCGTGGAGGTACGTCTATTTGTACTTTCGTGCTTTCGCACTTCTGCTAAACTCTGCCCAAGACCTTCCTGTGTCTCGATCTCCCTCAATGTAGACTCTTTTTGATACTACTACACGTCCCGAAGACGCTCCAACAAACCATTTACGAATCCATCATCCCTTCGTGGAGGTATGTCAGTTTGTATTTTCATGTTTTTGCCCTTATGGTGAACTCTGCCCAAGACCTTCCTGTGGCTCAATTTCCTTCAACATAGACTCATTTGGACACTACTTCACATCTTGAAAACGCTCCAACAAACTGTTTATGAATCCATTGACCCTTTGTGGAGGTATGTCTGTTTGTAATTTCGTGTCTTTTGAACTTATGCTAAACTCTGCCAAGACCTTCCTGTGGCTTGATTCCCTTCAGTGTAGACTTGTTTTGATACTACTAGATGTGTGCAAGTAGTAGAATAGCAGTGGGTACCCTTCACACCTTTAACACCAGTCTGTTCAATGGTGGCACCCCTGCAGCACAGTTGATGGTAATTGAATCCATGTGCTTGGATCTTGGTGCTTAGTGTGCGTCCAATGAAGAGGAAATGGTGGGATTGGAGAACCCAGTGAATTACTCCACAAGACGAACATGGTCGAAGTGTTTGGACTGGCCAAGACAACAACAGGTGCATAGAGATGGCATGGTGAAGCTGGCATATTGCTCAATGAGACAATTGTGGTAAATACATGGCACTTGAATCGTTTGGATTGGCCAAGACAATGATGAGTGTGTAAAGGAGACAGATATGCAGTAGATATGTTGCACAAATCGTTTGGACTGGCCAAGATGAAGAGTGCTCAGCAAAACACCAGAGTGCACCACAAAGAGAGGGTGCTGTGGCAAAGAGAAGGTGGCATGGGAAGTTGAACTTGAAGAGCTAGATTTGATGACACGCGAACATTTCCTGATCATTTGATGGGGGGAAGTTTCGTGCGTCATCAGAATCTATGATGAATACTACCGAAGTTGCACAGCCTCAGTACAAATGTTCAAGATTCTATGATGCACGAACATTTCCTGATCATTTGATGGGGGGAAGTTTCATGTGTCATCGGAATCTGTGATGCCAAGAGGACAAGAGATGAGAGATGAGATCTAAAACTTACTCCCTGAGATCTGCCCCCCTGCATTTGTATATTGTGGCAAAGATTGTTTAAAAAGGAAATAGATCATGTCATCTACTTCAGAAATACATGCTATAGCTCAATTAGAGATTCTGTGCACCCTATAACATCCCAAAATCAACATTGAAATGACTCCCACTTATTTGTGAATATTTGTTACTGTTTAACCTGTATATCAATAGTCTTTTAAGTATCAGCATTGATCAGATGTAAAAGTTATCATCTATTTCGTTTTTGCAACTGTTTATTTGTGTTTGTTTACCAGGAACGTAACATCACCATGACCACGGAAATGAGGAGTACCCATCACAAAAGAAATCATGTTATTTGGATCAAAACTCGCTGAGTTATACATGAATGTGTATTTATTACCGAAAATGGTAACTGATCTGAGATCTACTATGACACACGAAACTGTCCCCCATCAAGTGATCAGGAAATGTTCATGCATCATTGCTTCTTGAGTTTCAAGTGTTGCCTAAAGAAAAATGTGTAACTTTACCAAATCAAGTCCAATTCAGATGAAATAAAATGCAGAAAAAATGTAAAATTTCAGGGATCATACCTGTATACAATGCATTGAGATATATTATGTAATAAGGTCAAAGTCCAAATAAACATACTTTTTCAAAGAAGAATCTGAAGCTCACCAATATAAAATCTAAAATAAATGAAATAAAACACCAAGAAAAATACAGTTTGTTTTTATGTATATTATGTAATAAAATCTATGTGCACAAATAGATATATGTTTGCACAAAATCAAGCTAGTGCAAGCTTTTTCAAATGAAGAAGTAGCAATAAATTGGAACAGAAATTAGAAGAAAATGGCTGATGGTGCTCGCTGTTGGTGACAACATTTGAAAACACTCTCAGGGTCTCTGGTAAATTTCCATATATGGCACTCAGCATTTCTCCAACTGAAAAATAGCAATTAAATGGCAGAAAAAATGGAAAACAATTGAAGAATGGTGCTAACTGTTGATGTTGATGTTAGGACTGTTTCAAGGGTCCCAGGTGCATTTCCTTATGGAAATTTATTCAACAATTGCCAGAAAATAACACGAAAATCTAAGAAAGTTGGAATATGGTGCTCATTGTTAGCAAGGATGTTATGAGTCCTCTGAGTTTATAAAGACACTAGTTTGTTACTCTCTGATCTCAAGGATTTTTTCAGTACTTCTAACACTGAATCTTGCCTTTCTTCCCATAAGATTTGATGGTTTGATGATGTTGTCAAACATTTTTTGAAAGGAAAAATAGCGATAAAAACAGAAGACAAATCAGGAACAAATGGGGGACAATATGCATTGTTGATGACAATGTTGGGGACCATTTTCAGAGTACATGGCATATTTTCAACTGAGGTAATGTGCACTTTTTGAATCAAAAAATGGCAATATAATAGTAGAAAAATCAGAAAGAAATTGAAGGAAGATGCTCACTGTTTGTGCAATACTGGGGAGCATGTTCAGGGTCTAGAAGAAAATTCCATACATAATAATAGCTATAAAGGACTGGAAAAATTTAGTGAAAAATGGAGCATAGTACTTATTGTCGCTTTCAAGGTAGGGACTCTCTGTAAGGTCCAGTATTTTATATACATGGAAACATACAATTTGTCCAATATAAAATAGCAATAATATATATATATAATGGGTATAGATCTGATGGGCTTTCAGGAGGTGGTCACATGACCAGTTTCCTAAATAATCAAAAATGTGAATGCTGTGGTGCTGCATTGTGGCTTCCTGAATATAAAAAGGACTTGTATCTGCCATGCTTGCAATGGCCCTCTTACACAAGTTATATCAATGAGACTCTAAACTGTAGGAAGTACAAGGTAATAACTAGCTACTTTGCATTTCTCTTAGAGTATAACTGTTTATACTTACAAAGACTATGCTCCCCAGTCAAGACATCATATGTCATGGCAGACTTTTCTTCAGAAGTAAGCTCGCGATTGACAAAGGCATCAAGATCAGCAAATGCTTGCGGCACCGTCGTGTCCTCATCAATCAGCCCAAGCATGATCATAGCATCCAACGTGCCCTTCCCCACCTTTTCAATGAGTTTACCCCAGTCAAGAGCAGAAGGCATGGGAAGTATGTCCGCATAGATGAGATCTCCTATGATAAGAATGGCTGTTAGTGAGCCTATGTTGACAAAGACCTTCTTTGAAGTGGATTTGTTGTTGCCTTTTGCTGACTGCCAAGATCCCCTCTTTCGACTTGATGTTGACCTTCCACCACCAGTGGATGACTGGAGCAGGAAGTCATAAACGTCAAAAATAGTCAAATCCTTCTTATTCATCAGCAGCTCCCATAGATCCCTTTTTTCCCAGTATTCTTCAACCCGATCGATGCTTCGATCTCCTTGAAAAGACCCATAGGCAGTCTTAACAACAAAATAGCTTTGTGGGTGGCCTTTGCTAAATGCTTTCCACTGATCCAGATCCTCAAAATGACGTCCATTGTCATGAGCAAACTCTGAGCCAAAGAAAACTCCACGGAAGCACAGAACATTCCAGAAACCAATTGGTGTCTTCAGCCATTCTGGATCATCATATATTGAATTTCGTGAAAGAATACGAGTGGGAGCATGTTCTCTGTATGGCATGAATTTGTCAGGTGAATTTGCCATCTTCTTGAGAAATTTGTCAGAGCTGTTCACATGCACAGAGAGTCCCTGCTCCAAAAGGGGCAGCCCACGCCTCAGAAAGTTGACAAAAAGCATTCTTCTGTCATCTTTGGACTGGGGAAGTGATGATTTGTCCGAGTTGAATCCTTTGGTCTTGGACGGTTTCTTTGCTCCAGAACTAGTGTTTCCTGCTCTGAATTCAGAACGTGCATTGGTGAACACAAGCTGTGCCTTCTCAATGGCCTTGCAATCAATCTGACTCTCTTTTATTATGAGTCCTTACGAGTTTACGAGTAAGACTCATTCTTTATCAACTGAGGACTTAGGCAAATTTTTCATTCATTGATTCATTCATTTACCTTTCATCACCGCGGGAACCTTTTCCCTTAAACAGAAAAGCAGCCATAAAATCAGGAAAAATGGTAAAAGAAATCAGCAAAAAATATGTAAAAAATCGGAATATTGTTTAGTAAGGTGGGGAGGCTGTGTTCAGGGTTCAGGGTCAATATCTAAATATAGAAACCACCTAAAAGTTGCCAGAAAATCAGAAAAAAATACCCAAAAATTAAGAGTGATCTTCTCTGTTGCCATGATATTGAAGGGGCTGTGTCCATATCCAAATATGGAAAATCAAGACAACTATGTAAAAATATTGTCATATTATGCAATGTGACTATATCTTGAGACCAGCTTTCTTGCTCTTTCAGATATTGGTCAAAAATGCATGACAATTTCCAAAAAGTGTCCAATTTTTTCAGTATTTTGTGATTTTCTCAATGAGGAATGGTCTGCATGACATTATTTATATATATCTATAAAGGTAAGGAAAGGGGCTACAATTGTTGTTTATGGAGCTAAGTGAGAGGCTGTGTTTCTGATACCGTGGGAATTTTAACCCAAAAAAGGAAATTCATCACAAATATATAGAGCATGCTATTATAGGTCACAAAATATAACTAACCATCCTCTTTCCTGAGATATATGCAAACAGGACTGTGGGAATATTTTACCATAAACAGAAAAATAGTTATAAAATTGGGAAAATTTGCTATAAAATGAAAAAAAAAAAAAAAAAAAAAGAATAGCACACATTGTTGCTCTGATATTGATGGCTAGGCTCAGAGCTCAGGGTCTATTTGCAAATATAGAAAAAAACTCAGAAAATCATAAAGTGATTACATGACCAATTTCCTAATATTAAATTTAGAGTCCACAGAAAGGACTCATACATGCCATGCAAAGCACTGGCCCACATCCACAAGTCCACATCATGACAGTCTCATGCAGTACCTCAAACTTCTCCGTCAACCATGACTGTGGTTTTGCCAATGGATGCTGTCACAAAGAAGCTTCAAACTGTCTCCAAATTGGATGTTTTTCAGTTTGATTATTGCTTCCTTGATTTCTGCCCTCCAATGTAAGAAGTGGGCTTTGAAACACAGTCCAAACAGGCTCCAGTAAAAAAATGGAGTGCCGATCAATGACCTTGTTGATAGTGGCAATGAACATCCACTGAGAAATTGCTTTGGGGGTAGTTGGAAAATGCAGCCAGGAACGAATGATGTCTGTGGCTGCAGTCGCCAGCTGCTCCTTTTGTGCATCTGTGTCATATAACACGCGTCCAATTTTGTGCTGGTGAGTTACAGGCTCTTCCAGATGTGGAAGATACTTTGTCGAAGGAAAGGGTATAATCTCTGATTTGTGTAGGCCACTCAGATACAATCCCTTCAGATCTTTGACCAGCTGGTGCACCCAGCTAGGTTTGTAGTCTGCTGGGGCAGAAGTCTGATTCACTGAAGGCTCATTATTGATTGCCTCCCAGACAATGGTTTCAACCCAAGTATAAGGTGCTGCAATGCCTGTCATATAAATTAGCCTACAGGCATAGAGCTCAACTGTTGAAAGTTGCATGGATTTCAAGAGTATATCATGTTTTGGCCATATTTTTGCAATGATCTGCGGATGATCTGAAGCCCATGGAGAGATGGTCAAAGATCGAATGGATTGCTCTATACTGATGGAGTTGGCCGCCACTTCAGTTTGGTTCATGCGTTCTTGTGATCGCAATGAACAAAGAGATCCCCAAAATTGGTCAGCACAGCTGTCAATTGCATTGAAGTCGATAGTGCCCAGAAATTCATCTATGGGATTGAGATGTTCTGTATTGCATTAGTATTTTTTCACATATGAATGACTAGATGGCATTACCTGTTAGTCCATCATCTTCATTGTCTGAGTCTATCTCACTTTCTCCTTCACTATTATATATGTGCCTTTTTTCAAAGGGTTCTTCTTCATCCAAGTCCTCTTCCTCATTGAAGGGCTCTTCTTCATCCAAGTGTTCCCTGTCATTCAAGGGTTCTCCAACATTGAAGGAGGGCTCTTCATCTATCAAGGGTTCTTTGTCATCCAAGGCCTCCTGATCAGCCCAGGTCCTTTCATCTTCTAAATCCCAGGGCTCTTCATCCTCTAACTCATCACCTGTGAAGAAAACATCAGTTGCAAGTCTACTTAAATTTACTTCAACCAACTATAATGATCAGCCAAAGAGGTGTTTGCTTTAGGAGAGTCCAAATCCATCTGATGATCCTCCTGTTCATGATTTCCATCTTGACTATCTGAAAGAGCTTTTATCAGACACCCTTCACCCTGATTTGACTGAGCACACCTTCTCCAGAAGAGTAATTGGTGTGTTTTCTCTTTCTGGTGCTTTGGCCATTCTTTTCCCTGTATTCAGTGTGTTGCATCTGAGTATTTTTAGCCTCTAGTTTTCGTCGCATTACTGTCTCTAATGTTGCATCATCAATCACTGTGGTATGTTACATGTTACCCTCACATTACTTACCTTGATGAAGATGTTGATTCAATAAACTCATGCTATCAATAGTGATCCCATCTATGGGTTTTTTTCTTCCAAGCCTTGCACCAATACCTATGTTTTCTCAGTAACAATCTGCCAAGTAAAAACAATCACTTATGTTGAAGCTCCCTCTCCCGGTTTTGACCTTCATTCTTGTTTTTCCTGCTGATGCCACCACCCACATCTATAAGAAAGCATAAGTGTGAAGCAATTTGACAATGGTAAGACATTCACGTTTTGGCCTATCAACTTCTGTATCTTGGCTTGTCATATCTGTGTAGTCCTTAACGTGGCCCCACTGGGATGGTATAAAGCTGGCCATATTGGCTTTGTGGTCAATCCATTCCATGTGGATTTTTTTGCAAATATGAGCTGCTTTGATAGATGGATCCATCCCGTCAACCTCAATCTCCCCTGGTAAAATGGGATCAGAGACCGAACCATCTGGAGCTTCAGGCCAAAGTTCAGCAGTGATGGTTGTCATATTGTCTTGCATGGTGAATGCAGACGTAAACTTTGCCTGGTCTATTCGTACACCCATAGGCAATGGAAGCTGACAAACAATATAGGCAGAAATTTGAAGTAGGCCCCGGACAACAAAGTTGAACAATGACTTAGGTTCCATAAGATTTATACTGTCACGGACAAAGTTAGCCTCTCTTGTTATTGTCCCTTTATTGGTGCTAGATTTTCTCAGTTTTCTGTGACAGATGCTAATGTTTTGTTACTCACAGCAATGATGTCGCCTCTGTTGACAATTTGAAGAGTTGTCCAAACATACTGGCAAACCCAATAGAGTATTGACCAGCTCCAGAAAGCATGAAACGTGGTGAATATAGAACAGCATTGATCCGATACAAGTTTTTTTTCAACTCGACGCCATGTCCAAGAATGATTGGTGAGCCCCCATGCAAGAAGAGCCCATTGAAAATGGGCAAGCTAAAGCGAACCATCTTCACATAAATGAGATTGTTCAGAACAAAGAATCTTCCCATTTCAGTTCCACCACCTTCTGGGACATTGGTGTTGGACATCATGCAGGTATAACCTGCAGGATCATCTCCAGTGTCACGGTGACCATGCATTTGCCCAAAAACCCCCATCCCCACCAGGGAGGTATCTAAAACCCTGGATTAGAAATGGCCATAGTAATTATACTGAAATAATGACCAAAACGCCTCTCCCAAGGTATTGCAGGTGAAATATTCAGCTGTAATGCTTGAAAATAACAGTTGTCTTCAACTCCTAGTCTTGGTATGTTGGCCACAGATGTGTAGCGTTGATAGAGGTCTTGTATGTGGTTTGGAAGACAAATCTTCATTGCAAGGGCACCGATTTCAGCATGTAGCTAATAAACTTTTTAAGTAGCAATAATTGTTGAGCAGAATAACAGTACCTTGATGAACCTCTTTCTAAAAGCTAGTTGCTCATCCATAAAGTCAAAAAATTTGCCAAACCAGTGGGGACTCCACATAGCGCGTGTGCGCTGGGTTGTGGAACCCATGGGATAGCAACGGGTTCCATTGATTCCAACTGCGCCAGTCCTTTCAAACCATGTTCCCCCCCTTAATACTCCATTTTCATCCCGTGTTGGTGGATCAAGGGTAGCCTCTTCCTCTGGGCCAATCAGATCAGTTTGCAGATCATCGAATGCTTTAATCTGTTCTTCCGTCATCAGCTCCTTTCTAATTCATGATCAGACATTATATTTGTATGTATATGCAAAAATGTACCCATCAAGTAGGCAAACATTCAAAACATCCTGATTTCGATCATGACATGTTGTTGGAGTAGAAGCATATAGAGCAGCACCAGGTAGTAATGCCATTGCCCCAGGCTCCTAAAAGCAGCCACTCGTATCGCTCGATGAGCCTCTACATACAATTAGCGGTATGACAAATCCTATGATGTGATCATTGATGGGACTGAACAAATAAACAAAACTAAGGACTCGAGCTCGCGATAGAGCGGCTGCCGGGAAAGTCAGTCGGGAAACTCCGAGACCATTGATTAACCCTAACATTGGGTCCCAACCCCAAGGCCTTTCTGGGCTTGCGTGACAATGGTCCGGTTTGGACTTGGGGCTCCAACCCAACATTGACAAATACTACGTCTGGCATTAGAGGAGAGGCTACGGAACACGTAGGACGAAAACACGTAGGACAAGTGCAGAACTGTGCCGCAGTAGGATACAATAATATGCTTGTCATGCCCAGTCTCCAACGTGGACATTTTACCGATGTCGTGTCAGTTCAAAACTATATAAGTACAACCTTCCATCCTTGCTTCCATCATTACAAAAAGATAGTATCTAACTACCCAATGTCGAAACTACAATACCTCAACGAAGTGAAATCTATCTTGAATGCCTTTGAGGATTCAGACATCACTAGTCACTGCCCACTAATTTCTTCACGTACTTCTTTCGTCAAACATTTTTGCAGACCATCCCGTCACGCTGTCCATTATCGAGGACCTCGACACTATTCTCGACACCGATGCGGTTCCGGATAGGGGATTTTTTCCAAAACAGTGTTGGTGACAGAAATGTGACGCACCTTCCCATGGTGCTGACTTGGGACCCAACGTTAGGGTTAATCAATGATCTCCGAGTTCCCCGACTGACTTTCCCGGCAGCTGCTCTCTCGCGAGTTTGAGTTCTTAGGTTTGTTTATTTGGTCTTTCCCATCAGATTATATAACGATCACAAATATAGTTCTCCTCCTGAGTACGAAAACCTTGCGAGACGAGCGGCTGCTTTTAGGAGCCTGATTGCCCCTACATATCAAGCAATCAACATCAACCTAATCAACTGCAAAGCATACTCACCAATTTCATCCATTAGCAAGTCAGGACCAATTGGAACTGACAAAGTTTCTTCAAAGTCAAACCTCTGTTTTTGGTGTTCAGGTGAGGTGTCGACAATATACACCCAAGTTTCTTTTATGTATTTGGAGGCATCGGGCACGGCTGTATTCAATTTGGGATGTGGATGAGGTTTTTGGAGGCGGTAAACGTAGTAGAAGCGAGCGTCGCGCCACTCCAGGATGATGAGGTCTGCATCAGGTACGACAAACTGGAACCAGACACTGTCATCTCTCAGCAGACGATGCATGACGACAACGACAGACTGGTAGCTACCACTTACATCATGTACTCCTGAGCTGTACCATAGAAGTTCCTGCTTAGCTACCGTGAATGAAATGAAATGAATTTTCATTCATTCACGGCACCTGTTTCATTCTAGATAATTTATTCTGTTTCATTCATTCCTGGTGACTGTTTCATTTTTTTCTTTCATTCCACCAGGGCAACTGTTTCATTCCTTGCTTCATTCTTCTCAGGTGCCTATTTCATTGTTAGAGCTGGGAAAATGATTATGTAATTGATACAAAATATTTAAGTGCCTTATTTGGCAACAGCATGCCTATCTCATTGTGTATTTGAGCCTCAAATGCAAAAGTACCCCCATATGGCCTCCCACACCACTGCAGTAGGGCACAACACATATCAGGCATAATTGTATATTATTTCCTTATTTAGATGTGTGTTAAAACATCGAAATTGTTGCCTGAAAGAATGAAACAAAAATGAAATAACTGCCTGGAAAGAATGAAATGAAAATTCCATGGCAATGAATGAATGAAAAAAATGAAACAGTTGCCAGGAATGAATGAAACGAAAGAATAAAGCAAAAAATGAAACAGTTGCCATGGTGGAATGAAATTAAAAAAATGAAAGAGTCGCCAGGCATGAATGAAACAGAATAAATTTCATTCTT